TATGTCGGAAATAACACTCGTCCCATATATCTTCGTCCTTCCATACTAAACAGTTGGAATAGCCATTCTGAAAATTAGCTTTGAGGGCTAGAGAACTTCGGGGAATTGATTGCTATATACCATAAATGAGATTCTTGTACCGTTCTGGAATTGTCCCGTTAAATTTGAAAAAATGTTTCTTAATTCAGGAATAACACTCGTCTCATATATGTTCGTCTCTTCATCCTACACAGCTAAAGTATACGGCCTGAACATTTGTTCAAAGACTATCGGGTGCTCCAAACCACAAAACGGAACTTTGAACCGTTCCGGAGTTATGTCCCGTTGAATTTGAAAAATGGTTTTCTGAGTCGGAAATGACACCCGTCCCACATATTGTCGCCTTTCCATACTAAACGGTCTAAAAATTAGTCCCTAAGGCTAGAACCCTTCGGAACACTGATTGCTTTAAACTAAAATGAGAATTCTTGTACCGTTTTGGAATTAAGTCCCGTTAAATTTGAAAAATGTTTTTTTTTAATTCGGGAATGACACTTGTCCCATACACATATAATCGTCTCTCCTTACTAAAGAGGTAGAGTATCCGGTTTGAAAATTTGCTCCGAAGACTAAAAACTTCGGGGTATCGAGTGCTCCAAACCACAAAACGGAAACTTGAACCGTTCCCGAGTTATATCCCGTTAAACTTGAAAAATGGTTTTCTAGTCGAAAATGACACCCGTCCCACACATCTTCGTCTCTCCATACTAAACGATCTCAAAATTAGTCCCTGAGGTTAGAACCCTTCGGAAAATTGATTGCTTCAAACTACAATGCAAATTCATGAACCGTTTTGGAATTATGTCCCGTTAAATTTGAAAAATGTTTTTTAATTCAGGAATGACATCGTCCCATATATATTCGCCTCCATACTAAAGACGTAGAGTATCCGACTTGAAAATTTGCTCCAAGGACTAAAAATTTCAGAGTACCACAAAGCGGAACCTTGAACCGTTCTGGAGTTGAAGTTGAAAAATAGTTATTAATTCGGAAATGACACTCGTCCCATATTAAACGGAAATCTGGTTCGCAAATTAACCTCTAGGACTGAAGAGATTCGAAGAATCGAGCGGTCTAAATTTTCAATGCAGAATCTTGAACCGTTGTGGGGTTATGTCCCGTTAAATTTGAAAAATTGTTTTCTAAGTCGTAAATGACACTCGTCCCGTACAACTATACTCGTCTCTCCATACAAAAGAGAAAAGTTCGGGCAATTGATTGTTACAAACTATAAAGCGAATTCTTGAAACGTTTTGGAATTATGCCCCATTAAATTTGAAAAATGTTTTTTAATTCGGGAATGACACTCGTCCCATATATATTCGTCTCCATACTAAAGACATAGAGTATCCGACGTGAAAATTTACTCCAAAGACTAAAAATTTCGGGATATCGACTACTCCAAACCACAAAACGGAACTTTGAACTGTTCGGGAGTTATGTCCCGTTGAATTTAAAAAATGGTTTTCTAAGTCGGAAATGACACCCGTCCCACATATTTTCGTCTCTCCATACTAAACGGTCTAAAAATTAGTTCCTGAGGCTAGAACCCTTCGGGAAATTGATTGCTTCAAACTACAAAACGAATTCTTGAGCCGTTTTGGAATTATGTCCCGTTAAATTTGAAAAATGTTTTTTAATTCGGGAATGACATCGTCCCATATATATTCGTCTCCATACTAAAGACATAGAGGATCCGACTTGAAAATTTGCTCCAAGGACTAAAAATTTCAGAGTACCACAAAGCGCAACCTTGAACCGTTCTGGTGTTGAAGTTGAAAAATTGTTATTAATTCGGAAGTGACGCTCGTCCCATATTAAACGAAAATCTGGTTCGCAAATTAGCTTCTAGGACTAAAGAGATTCGAAGAATCGAGCGGTCTAAATTTCAAAGCAGAATCTTGAACCGTTGTGGGGTTATGTCCCGTTAAATTTGAAAAATTGTTTTCTAAGTCGTAAATGACACTCGTCCTGTATATATTCGTCTCTCCATACAAAAGAGAAGAGTTCGGGCAATTGATTGTTACAAACTATAAAGCGAATTCTTATGCCCCATTAAATTTGAAAAATGTTTTTTAATTCGGGAATGACACTCGTCCCATATATATTCGTCTCCATACTAAAGACATGGAGTGTCCGACGTGAAAATTTACTCCAAAGACTAAAAACATCGGGGTATCGATGCTCCAAGCCACAAAACGGAAGTTTGAACCGTTTCGGAGTTATGTCCCGTTGAATTTGAAAAATGGTTTCCTAAGTCGCAAATGACACTCGTCCCACATATTTTAGTCTCTCCATACTAAACGGTTTAAAAATTAGTCCCTGAGGCTAGAACCCTTCGGGAAATTGATTGCTTCAAACTACAAAACGAATTCTTGAGCCGTTTTGGAATTATGTCCCGTCAAATATGAAAAATGTTTTTTAATTCGGGAATAACATCGTCCCATATATATTCGTCTCCATATTAAAGACATAGAGTATCCGACTTGAAAATTTACTCCAAGAACTAAAAATTTCAGAGTACCACAAAGCGGAACCTTGAACCGTTCTGGAGTTGAAGTTGAAAAATTGTTATTAATTCGGAAATAACACTCGTCCCATATTAAACGGAAATCTGGTTCGCAATTTAGCCTCGAGGACTAAAGAGATTCGAAGAATCGAGCGGTCTAAATTTCAAAGCAGAATCTTGAACCGTTGTGGGGTTATGTCCCGTTAAATTTGAAAAATTGTTTTCTAAGTCGTAAATGACACTCGTCCCGTATATATTCGTCTCTCCATACAAAAGAGAAAAGTTCGGGCAATTGATTGTTACAAACTATAAAGCGAATTCTTGAAACGTTTTGGAATTATGCCCCATTAAATTTGAAAAATGTTTTTTAATTCGGGAATGACACTCGTCCCATATATATTCGTCTCCATACTAAAGACATAGAGTATCCGTGGTGAAAATTTACTATAAAGACTAAAAACTTCGGGGTATCGAGTGCTCCAAACTACAAAATGGAACTTTGAACCGTTCCGGAGTTATGTCCCGTTGAATTTGAAAAATGGTTTCCTAAGTCGGAAATGACACCCGTCCCACATATTTTCGTCTCTCCATACTAAACGGTCTAAAAATTAGTCCCTGAGGCTAGAACCCTTCGAGAAATTGATTGCTTCAAACTACAAAACGCATTCTTGAACCGTTTTGGAATTATGTCCCGTTAAATTTGAAAAATGTTTTTTTAATTTGGGAATGAGATGGTCCCATATATATTCGTCTTTCCCTACGAAAGAGGTAGAGTATCCGGCCTGAAAATTTGTCCCATTAAATTTGAAAAATGGTTTTCTAAGACGGAAATGATACCCGTCGCATCTATCTTCGTCTCTCCATACTAAGCGGTCTAAAAATGAGTCCGTAAGGCTAAAGATCTTGGGGGAATTGCTTGCTTCAAACCGTAAAACGGATTCTTGGACCGTTCTGGAATGTTAAATATTTTAAAAAACTTATTAATTCGGAAATTACACCCATCCCATATACATATAATTTGTCTCTCCATATTAAATAGGCCGAGTATTCAGTTTGAAAACCAGCCCATATTGCTAGTCAACTACGGAGAAGCGTATTCTCTAAACCGTAAGGCGAATAATAATTAAATTTAAAAAATATTTCTTAACTCAGAAATGACACTCGTCCCATATATATTCGTCTCTCTGTAATAAACAGGAACACCATCCGCTGTAAAAATTAGCTCGAAATACTAAAAAACTTCGGGAAATAGAGTGCTCCAAACTACAGTAGAGAATCGTGAAGCATTCCGGAGTTATGCCCGGTTAAATTTGAAAAATTCAAAAATGACACCCGTCCCATAAATATTCGTCCCTCTAATCTAAAAATCGGCTCAAAAGACTAAAAACTTAGGAAAAATTGTTTTTCAATTCAAAAACTACACCGGTAAATGACAACAGTCCCATATATATTCGTCTCTCGATACTAAACAATTAAGGTATCCGCTCTGAAAATAAGCGGACTGGTAAACTTAAAAAAATCGAGTATTTTCAACCACACGGCGGATTCTTGCACCATTTTTTTCTTTTGCTTGATTTTTTTTGTCGTTTTCTTTTCTTTTCATTTTCATGTTTTATCGTTTGATCTTTGGTTTCAAAATTTACGGTTTGACCACTTGGTGCCTGAACTTGATTGCAAATATAAAATTCAAGTATTCTTGTGTATAGTTTGATAAAAGCAAAATGTTTACAAATCTTTTAAACTTAATTGAAAAAAATGGACGCAAATACCTCTTTCTTTTGCTTTTAGTGATTAAGTTCTTCATTATAAAGACTTATGTATATGTATGTGTGATTTATATTCCTCATTTCTGTGGATCTAGACAATATAAGATTTATTTTGGGTACCTGTATGATCTATACAACTGTAAATTACTTATCTTGGGTGACTTGAACATACCTGAATTTTTAAACTGGTCTTCAACTTTCCCTTTTAAAGCATCTACTAGGGTAGGTTTTATAGTTCTATTCGATCCTGACTACATTTCTAAAATTATGAAACCTTTAACAGTAAGGTGATCATTATTTCAACGCAAGGTCAACGGTGTCGCCATTCAATACAAAATTAAAAGCAATTTCGCGGGTTAATCACATTATTCATTGGCAATTTGATAGGAAAATGACATGTGCGCCCTAATCCCTAAAAGAATGTTGTAAATTTAATTTTGTTCAGATACAAAAGCTATTCGCGTTACACTAGAACCTAATGGAAAATAAATCAAATAAATTTCGTACAACAAAGCCAGTAAATTAGCCTCGTCCATAACACAAAGGGGGGATTGTTCTGGATCAAGCTTTAATCTAAAATTCATCTAAGTGCAATACCTTAACTTGTAATAACCGAGATAGAAATTATGAAAACAGTGGCATTATGCCATAACAGAATGGATTAAATAATAGCTCTATTATTACAGGTTTGCGCCAGAAATTTACGATGGAGTTAAGCTCAGGCGAGGAAATCGTTGCCAACATGTCATCAACGACGCCAGATTTTATCGTTACTAATCTAGAAGCTGCTCAAGATTATTCGGCAATCGTGTACTCGGAGAACTCCAAAGGCCGATCCAAAATACTGTCACCTTTAGCATTTCGAACCCAGCCAGCTCCTGGTCTGAAGGAACAAAGGCGGTCTACAGGACCCACCGAGGGAGAGAAAAGTGGAACAGGACCATGGCTTTATATTTTGTTAGCTGCTGGGTCTACTTTAATTGTCGCCGGTGCCATAGGAGCGATTATTGTCGTCGTCAAAAGGTTTAGGGTAGGTTTTATTGTTATAAATGTCCACCACATACTCAATAGGTCGGCAGGAAATTGCTTGTTTAGGCGAAAATTAATTTAGCTATTGCGTGAAACAATTTCCTGTGTTATCAGTCATTTTTTATTCTGTTGGTTTTTTGTTTTCAAAAAGTTTGCTTAAATTCTCGGATCCTGAAGACACTTATTATAAATGATACAAACATTACAACAAATTCATTATTGATCCGGCAATTATCTATGTTTTTTAGCACTGTAGTGTATGATCACTGACAAATAAAATTATTGCAGTTAAAATTTAATTCAGCGTAAACTGCATCTATTCCCGGCGCATCCACCAATTTTACGCTTTCTGAACCCCTCACATATTTTATGAGTATGCTAAAATTTATAACATGTTTGTACTTTCATAAAATTTTATTAGTCAATAACAGTGTACTAACTTCTGTAGGGAAGAAGCAAATTAAATAACCAATTTATGTTATAATGAAACAAATTAAAATATTTGGCTACGACAGAATAAATTACTCAGAGTGGAATATTTTAATTGCATTAAAAGTTAATTAAGTTAAATTAGCTGATTTATTAGGAGTTTAAAATTGTTCTCGATTTATGTTTATCACCCTTAACAGGTCAACATAATGTTTATTCGACACATAGTACACTTGTCAAAAATGGTTTCAAGATTTTGGAAGGAGAATTTGTAAATGTGGATATAGATCCAAATATAATACAGAATTTAAAATTTGGTCCAATAGCCTCTGTCGATGTTGAAATATCGTTTGTCTGTGACAAGTGTGAATCATTTGTAATGGAAAATTTTGAAAAAACATTTAATAATAATTAATCAATTGGTCTAATAAGAATTATAGCTAAAACACAAATATTGTGTAAACAGCATTTTCTTACAAACTTAATTTATTTATAATTTGAATTCTTATATATATTTGCGTATGCATGTTTTCATATTTAGCTACATATTTTTAATAAAGTGGTGCATATTTCTTCGATATTTTGATGTATACAATCCGAGCCTTAGTTGCTACGATTAGGCAGAACTTACCGCGCTTCTGAAGCATAATCAATTCTGCACATTAAAGCGTAGACTTCAATAAAAATTCATTTATTATTGTTTTGTAAGGATAAACATTCTGATTAAAATTGGTATTTTAGGGATGATAATAAAAGGTAGCGTATTTATGTTTCGAGAAAACTGGAAACAATTAAGTCGGTTTATGCATTTTTCTGGTATTAATTTATCCAACTCGAAACAAACATCTCCTTCAACCGTAAACCATTTTTAATAAAGCAATAATAAATTACTCGGATACAAAGAATCGAACAGATAAAAAATCTGCATTCATTTCGCATCGCTTCTTAGTTCGGAAATTGCGAAAAGTAATTTAGTACAAAGTATGATTAAAACCCCCATTTGTAAGAACACACCCCGCGTGCATTTCGAGCGGAATGAACAATTTATGGACCGGTTTATCATGATACATATCGTAAACCGTAAATTGTGCGATCCGCGTCGTCTTTATTGCTCCAGTGGCCATTCTGTTTCTCGCTGAAACGATTAAATTCAAATATTGTTGAGCCGAAATGGCAACACGTTGCCGGATTATTTAATCCGACGTCGGCGTCGGCAAATTCCCCAGACGGCCAACTCCTCCACGGATAATACAACGTTCCGTTCCCAGTACGAATCATTGAAAGTTTCTCAGCAGAGTTTTGTTGTTTTCAGGTGGACAGTCCTGTGAGAGAGCGCCGTCCTCGCAGCCCTAAAAGGGAGGAAAGTCCATTGAATCCCCGTGTGCCGCCGCCCTACACGGACCCCATCACAGACGACAACAACCCCGACCTGATTCCCCCCACCAACGGTGAGTACGACCAACGGCGGAGAGGGAAAAATTGGCAATATTTTCAGAATTAAGAAAAGAAACATTTTAACCCCAAGAATACTAATAATATGAACAAAAGAGTTGGCATATTCGAGACAACTAAAGCTTTTTAAACATAAAAATAGATTTAAATTAATCGAACAAATTGTACATAATTTGGAAAAATATTTTCAAGTGTCCAGTGTATATTTGTTGTGGACAGGCACCGCCACTGGTGTATCCCGCGAGATGTCGTCCTGAGTGATAGCCGCACTCTTATGAACTCGAGAAAAACTCGTTTAAACTAGGAAACATGTACGAGGCGATAGGACAGAATGGTTCCGAGGTGAAAACTAGAAATATAGCAAACTGAGAGGGCCATTAATCATGGCCGTAATGGTTACACGGGAAACGCGACAACTTTTAACGCATGCTTCCCAGTTTCATGAAGCTAAAAAACCTACCAAGAATGATGTTCTCTCGACTTTATTCCGCTTACACGCTAAAATACTGAGAAAGTGCGTTATTTCGCTAATAGATGACGGCCATTTTGCTGGCCCCAGGTCACGTTTTCGACGTTGTTTTCGTTTACAAGTTGCGGAAATAAACATGAAGCAGCTCCGATACGCGACGAGAATTTTTACGATATGTAACAGATTAAAAATAATGGTATTGTTGGAGATAATCCAGTGCAATTAAATATTCTGGTACAGCACTTCTCCATAGATATAGACCGTGTCGTAACTATATTGAGATGTGACGATAATGACAAAATTAATCGACTTTTCTACATACATTTTTCTTATTAAGATTCCATTTTTGAACTTTAACTTTTCAAAAATATAATTCGGCGGATATTTTTTTATTATAACTTGATTATTTTGCATAGGCCACACACTTAAGCGATGTTTCATTTTTTGCAAAAACAGCCAATTAAAATCAACACATTTTCGAAAATGCCTTGCCAAATAGCAACGTTTTTCAAATCAAAGCAACCGCGTTTGTATACTGGACATTGTTTTCGGTGGTCTGCATAATTACAAACAGAACTATAAATTTTCATAAAGATTAATACGATCACAGTCATGTTAAGATTGATTTAATGACGGTGATTTTTTTTTTAATAAAATTTTGTTGTAATCGGCCAAGTTTGGACTTTAAATCGGAAGAATGGGACTTAAAATGTACATTTGGTTGCATAACTTAGTTTAATTTTTTTAATTTTAAAGATTTCAATCATCAAAAAAATATTGTCACTAAGACGTTGTTGGTTGATTAATGGCTAATTAACAATCTTGTCATTTTTTTAATTTTACTCGCTCATTTGTTAGCCTTCATTGGCAACTCGTTCGTTAAATAACTATTTAACAGTAGTTCCTGTGGGGTACTGGAAGGATTCGGGGGGTGCATAGAGCTCCTGGGGAAAATTGGGGGCGTTTAATCAATTTGAGGGTGCGGCACAAGAAAATATCTTAACATTTTGAAAAACCGGCAGCATGTTATAATTCAAATTATATAGGGCGTTATCAACAAGTGCGTAAAGTAATTTGTTTTTTGAAAAGTGGACAGTGAGCTGCATAAATTTGGGAACCACTGCTTTAGTATCATACCTACTTTATTTTTGAAATTTCCTTAAAGTCTAAAAAGGAAAGCTTCACGAAAACATTGCAAAAATTATGTATACGGTTTATTATGGAATCAATAAAATTAACTCTTAGTATAAAGAGTGTTTTTTAAAAATTCTAAACTATTCTATTTTCTAAATATTCATATCTAGTTTCTACAGTTAAAACATCCTGTATTTAGTACTACATCTTAGTGTTTTTTATGCTTCTTCATTTTTCTTAAACATTTTCTATATCTAAAGTTAGTAATAATAACGTCTGTAATTTTTTCCTTCTTGCTAGACACCAAAAATCGAAAAAAAAATAAAATGGTCTACTTAAAAAATAGAGATGAATGATAAATATTTGAAAATGTATAAGTTTATATAAGTATCTTATCTTATACTAAAATTGTACTGTTTTTGCGTAACATACACTAAAATTATTTTAGACTAATCGTAGTGTTTTGTTTTTGAGGCATAGCACACAACTTTTTTTTTAATAGCATACCCTATATATTTGTACTAATTTTTGTAATCCTTTTCCTAGGTTTTATAACGAAATTTATTTTTCAAAATTTCGTTGCGATGTTGCCACATCAGTATTACGTCTTAAGTGTCATTTTTCTTAAAGTTGGAAAAAGTCAGTTCCTAAAAAGTTATTGCGGCCTCAGAGAGCAAATCTCAACCCAGTTTCTTGTTCAGGAGTCTCTAATTAGTAAGTGGAGCAAATTTCAAAAAGGGACAGAAAATTCTCAAAATTCTCACATCGTGCTGAAAATTTGACCTAAGGTCAATTCGACGCTGCTGAATTTATTTTCGCAATCAGTTGTTTGGAATTTACAACGGTTCAAAAAAATCCGCGTTCATTTCATTTTATACGTGTGCTAAAAAAATTTTTTTTAACTTTGAAAATTCATAAGTCGAGAACCACTGGTGCTACGCAGTTGAAGCAAAAATTGTTCGATTCCTCAGACTTTTGTGAGTCAGAACAAAAATCATCAATATTTCGCCTTAAGGGGTTTAGTCGCAGGGGATGAGTTTATCGGACCATGTAATTTTTCTTAAAGTTGGATAAAGTCAGCTCCTAAAAAATTACTGCGGCCTCAGAGAGTACATCTGAAGCCAGATTCTTATTCAGGAGGTTCTAACTAGTAAGTGGAGCAAGTTTCAAGAAGATCTGTGCCTTTTGAGAAAATTCTCAAAATCTAACTATTTTGGGATACTCTTCGAAAAAAATTCAAAAAAAAAAAATCTCATATCAAGCTGAAATTTTGGTCTGTTAATTAGACGCTGCTGAATTGATTATCGCAATCAGTGATAAACCACTAGTGCCAAGCAACTGAAACAAAAACTTCTCAGACTTTTGTGAATCAGAAAAAAATCATCAATAATTACGCCTTTTAGAAGCACGGGTTAGCAGAAAACACAATAATGTTATTTTTAAGATTTATTTCTTAATATCATTTATTAAACAATATTATACCGGCCGTCTGGACAATAAAAAATACTTTATGATGTAGATTACGAAAAAAACCTAATTTTATAAAAATAAAATTGGCAACACTGCACGCACCTAATGCGTGAATACCTGCGGCTTACTTCCTAATTTCTTAGTAACGATGGTGACTATAACAACCAATGGTCATTAATCGTTGTACATTATTATTAATAAAACAAGGTGTTATTTTTTATCTTTAATTTTTTTTAATAGCTCTTAAAATAAGACCGATTCTGGCAAATGACATACCCTCTAAAAAAAGAGAGGGTGGTTGGGCGGGGTTAGTACTTGCTAAAGTAAGACCGATTTTGGCAAATGACATACAGAGTGTTAAAAAATCTTCAAACATCGATATTTCAATTTTTCAAATAGAACCTCCTGTATTTTATTTTTGCACTTTATTATATTTTTTGCCCGCGTGTTTCTTAAAAAATTTTTAAAATCGCAATAAGTGGCAACTTTAAATATAGAAATAACTAAACAAAAAAGAACGAGACAGAATAAAACACAAAATAAGGTACAAGGTGTTCTATTTGAAAAAACTGAAATATATCACAACCTTCATTTATCTGTTCACAAAAGTTTGCACACAAATTTTAAAAATATCGTTACTGCGTTTTTTTTTTTGTGAAATCTATTGCTACAAAATTCAAAGAAATTGGAACGTGGCAACGTCGCAGCAGAATTTCAAAAATAATCTGTGCTAATAAAGCCTAAACAGAGTCAACTATGTAAAGATGTGTAAGGTGGTTTATGGTCCTCAAAGCACCATACAACTTTGATCTTTTTTTTTCTATTTCTAACGATAATAATTAATAATCAAGTTAAAGAAGTAAATTAGACAGCAGAACGTTTTTTTTTTGCAATAAAAAGCACAGAAAGAAAAAATTCTAAGACTCAAAGACTTACAGTCTGCAACCTAAATTTTAACAAAAAGCAACATAAACGAAGTTTCAAAAACTCGAGAGCTGTGAACCGAAAACGATTAAATGTGTGAAGCGTAGACATTAATAAGCTCGCCAGATTATGTAAAGAAACATACACGGTATAGATGGCTAAATATACATACGAAGACGGACAAAAAAGCCTTCAAAAAATTTCTCCAAACTTTTTTATTATTAAAATACACCAGTCTGGATATAATCGGGAAAAACTTTGCATCGAATTTACTGAAGTATGTTTTCATTAACTTTAAAATATAATCATACAACACAAAAATTCAGTATGGTAAACAAAACACCTAATACATTCTTAAACATTATCCATTTTATTGACAATTTCTTCTACATTATTCTGATAAACTCTACTCATATTTCAGAGATTCAGCTCCACCACACTCAGGCTCGAAAATACACGTAGCAAGTCAGCAAAATCAAGTTAGGTTAAGTTCTGCCCTCAAATACCACCAAACCGCAAGAATTGTGACATAATCTTTGGTACTCCCGTACGATAGTAACTCATCAAGACAACACGAAAAATAATTTTCTAACACTATAACTTTCTCTTGCTTTTGAGTTTTGTAAAATAAGAATGTTGCACATAGTATATTTAGTAATAACGTTTCAACCCATTTGTACTTCTGTCTAGAAAATGGAACCTATTGTAAATTTTAATTTGATTAATGTATTTAGAAAAAATAAACTTCTCAAGAAAAAATACAATCAAAGAAATACAGTTATAAATACCTTATCCGACTATTAATCTTGAAATAAGTTTCTCATTCACCTAGACGAAACACCCTGTGTTTAATTTCCCACTTTAAACAATTCATTTTCAAAATTTTAAAATGGAAATTATACAGGAAAATCAATAAATTTAGCGTATACACTAAAATAAGTTCTATCAAAATATGGCAAGGGACTTTGGGAATAATACTTTACTTAGCTGAAAAGTAATCTTCCACCATCAGACGTAGCGAAATACAAACTGGTAATAAAGTAAACATGTAATATATTAAATCCGATGCTTGAACATAACGACAAAGGCCGAAATCATAATATGCCAATCTACCTTCCTGCGACAATACGACATCGATTTTTATGCGCAGCAGCTTTATTACTTTGTCATATGCAGTTCAAAATTTACAAAGTATCTTGTCACGTAGATTAAAACATTCTTTCAGACCAATAAAACTTCTCTAAATTCCGAAAACAATTAATTACAAACATACTCGTATATAAATTAACGGTGAGTTCACAACCTAAATGCGTTTCCTAATAGACCCTACAACACAAGAGTGTCAAAAAAACAGATAATGAAAGCGTGGGCTTGCAACAACCCACACGCAAGAAACATTAAATAAATCGAACAAACGTGTTCAGTTTGGAAGGAGAGAAACGTGATTAAAGCTGCCCGACTTCTGCTATTGCTCAGCGAATAAATTAACTATCACGTGGAACAGATCTTTTGATGTATCATTGGTGACACGATGAACACATACATAATCCGACATGTCGTTAAAAGTCGTAAAATATAGTCAATTTCGTTAAACTACTCCTATACAGAGTGAGTCACAAGTAATAATGAGTAATTTATCAAAAATATTGAACATGGTCTTCTAAAATTTGACATCTATCAGGTTTTGAATGTTCTGATAATACATCTACGAATCCTTTGGAGGTGTATTGTGGGTTGCATTCCCAATTCTATCCAGTTCATTGTTATTCATGAATCACTCTGTATACAGTGTTCATTTCCAATTAACAGTGCAGTAAATTGTACACTTTGTTGTTTCAGAAAGTCTGCTGGATGCATCGATGGTTCCCTACACGATAACGGCTCGACCATCCAGCAAACGAAACTGCGCGACGCAGATGCCAGTGAAGCCCTACCACGTAACATGGGCTCCCATACTGCAGTCGCGAAATTGTGCCACTCAGACCCCACCCCCGCACAAAGAAAGTTCTGTCTAGTCTACCCCAACGACCCCAATCAACAGTCTCGGCACCGGGACCAATACCACCTGTGATATTTGTGAATATCTCATATTTTTAAGCATTGACATTATCAAAACTAAAACTGTTAACGCTGTTATTATTTCATTGTCAATAAAATATCATTACATGTGTACCAAGGAGTTTAATTTACCCGAATGAGAATCTGAGAATTTACCTCTTTCTGTCTAAAGTGTCTGTGACAGCCGACACGCTAAATTCAAATAAGGTAATAACGAAAATTTGTCTGGTCACCCCCACCAACAAATTGATAACGTCATCTCAAAATTTTGCTGGACTGGATAAATCCTATATATGTAGATACTTAATTTCTATTACCGCAAACATTTAATGTTAACTGCACTCAAATTTTTATTCTATTATAAAATACATATGTACATTTGTGTTCCAAAAATATCGTAATGACATTCTACTGCGTCGAAGCGGTTTTTTCAAGCTGCATTTATAGTTGAATAAAGTACTTCCCACATTTTTGAACACACCATAAAAATTCTCCAAGCAAGCAGTTCTGCTTTATCTGTCAATAACTTAGATTTTTCAAGGATTTCCATTCGTTGTATTGTTGGACTCGCTGTCACGTATAGATTTCCAAACCACTGAATAAGTTTGTCCGAAAATGGGTGTTTTATCTGTCCTTCCACTGATAATATAAACTTCCAACCATTGTTAGGTTATAAATGAAACTAAAATGAACCGAATTCAATAGGAAAACTTTCGAAAACTTTTCGTCATCACAATAACTGCATCATTTTAATACAGCAATAGGTTAGCGATATGCATTAATTGTGCTGTTAGGACTGACGAGACATGACAGCAAGAGTGCAATTAATTGAACCATTTATATTCCGGATTTGCTGCTTAGCAGCAAACGTGGACCAGTGCGAGAGTCATAAATTATCCTTATATTTTCCGAAAGGTGCGTGTTAATAGATATAACCTACACCAATTAAAAGGTCATCAAATTCATCCCTCATTTTGTTCCAGCCGCATTGACCGTCACACAATTTTAACCGCATTACAACAAACGGAATGTGAATGTTCCCTAAGCTCCAGCCCTGCCTCCACCCCAGTTTTGACGTATTGTTTGTTAATGCGCTTTGAGAGTTTATCTGATAAATTGCAACAACGGCGTTATAACGTTTTGTTGTGAGAGAAGGGAAAAGTTTAATCAATACTGCGATATAAAGTACAATAAAAGGCAATTAAACTGTCTAATAAAATACTGAAATAGCACAAAAACCGTAGATGTTAGAATAAATATCCATTCATGAAAATTTCAGGAAAGCCATGTTTAATTTAATCGGCTTTGATAAACGTTTTATTTGAGCAATATGTTCGAGTGCGATGTTTTATTTTTGTATTTGGAAAATTGACTGCATTCAATTTTCGTACTTCCGGTTTGAAAATTTAGTGGAGCTGTAAAATGTAAAATGCAGATCGGTTCTTCGGCTGAATTTGTGAGATAATACGAATATTGCAATTTAATCTTCAATTAAAATATAAAAAGTAAGTACATAAACAGCTCTATACAGCCACAAAATAAAGAAAATACAAAATAGTTTGATACAAATAATCGATTTTTATTTTCAACTAGTATGCATTTGACTGTTTGAAATTAATAGTCCATATTTTAATTACTTTAATAAAAGCGTTTTTCATTTACGTAAATTCATTTGAAATATATAGTCTTAAATTTGGTGTAAAATTTTATATGTTTCACCTAAACTTTTCCACTCTAAGCGTTCTCACGTGTTTACACAACTTAGCTAGTTCTTTTTTAAAAATTTTCCAAAAAAAAACAAAAATCTGACATATAGAGTTCATCGTGCTGATTCCAAAAACGTAGCGTGTTTATGCTCTCGGGGCACGATTAAAAATTTTCGAGTTGAAAATCAATTTTAGAAAAATTCAAAAAATTGCATTATTTTAATGAGTTTTGAAAAAATGGAAGGAGCTATCGAAGAAATAAGGCCGAAACTGTAAGAGGTCAAAATTCATAGGAAGATATCTTTCGTTAAATTTCGAAAATTGTCGAAAATTGGCCGAAATTTTTATAGGGTGGAGAGGTTTGAAAAATTTTGTTTTTGAAAAATTTGCCAAAACAAACAAAAAATTCTGACATGGAAGCAGATTCCAAAAACAGCGTGTTATGATTTCAGGGAAAGATTAAAAATTTTTGTTTGAAAATAAATTTTTTTAAATCCAAAAATTTGCAAGATTTTAGTGAGCAATTTTGAAAAAAATAAAAGGAGCTATCGAGAGGCCGAAACTCACGTCTGGAAGTAGAAGTTTTTATTTTTATCGGGTGGCTGTCCTCTCCAGGGGTAAATGAATGTAAAATATGTACTAAAACGAAGATATTTTTACTTCTCAGGCAATAATTAAAGAAAATTTTGTAAAAAATCATTTTAGTTGAAAGTGTATTTTTTTTTTGCTTATCGAGCGTAAACCAAGGAAGTATTATAATAGAGTTATCCGAAGAATGGATACTTTTATGGTGTCTCGACGTTTTATGATTCCTAGAGTATAAAAAGTAGGTGGCCCATTTCTGCCTGGCCTCTGTGCTGTTCTTCTAAACTACTGAGCGATTGTGGTAAGATTTTAGATGTATATTAGGAATATCGTAAAATGTTAACCAAAATTTGTTATCATAACCCCAAAATTTTAAATAAAGTGTGATAACCCAAACATCCCGCCCACGGCTGTAATCCCGCCCAAAAATTCAAATTTCGCCTTAGCTGTGATCGTCTAACAAAATGGAACCCTACGTTGTGTTTTTGAAAAATGGTGGGATGTGTTCAGATGCAAATGGTGGACCCCAAGGTTGGAAAAGTACCGCTAAATAAAACACAAAATTTATGGAGGACACAAAATTATTTATTCCTCCACTAAAAAAAAAATAGAAAAAAAAAGCTGCGACTAAGTTGTGTCGGGTGAGGACACCCCTTAATGCTCAGCTCCAAAAAAAACTTTGCATGCATTTTAAATGAAACCAAATTAAACGTTCTGAATCAATGCAAATATTTGAATATCACAAATAAAATTATGGTAGTCAACAAGAGCACAATAAAAAATACCCATAGCACAAACGGAATATGGGGCTCCGGTTGTGGCTGTTCTCCGCCACGACGGTGATTTTATCTATCGCAGGCTCACCGCAAAGCATATCTCTACTACGGACGTGCAGGCCGTTACGGTCGCAAACTGGCAGTCGGGTCCCGGCTATCACGAAGCGAACAGCGTTACGTCATTTCGACCGCCCCTGAATTCTGTTCAAATCTACATCTTTTATACAGCTCGACTAGGAACCGCGCCCTTCGCTTCAGCCACGTATTTCGGTGTTATTTACCTCAATTCCATTTTAAGTGTTCAATTTCTTATAACTCTGATATTAACGACAACTGAACAAGTGTTAAAGTTTCAAAAGAGCAATTAACAACATTTAAATTCCGCATACAATCTTGTGAAATTTTAAACGACAAATAATTCTTATTTCTTATTTGAGATTAAGATTGGACATCAGATAAGTTATATGATGGAAACATTCATCAACAAAATATTTACAAACAAAAAAAACTAGCAAACAAAGATCTGATGTGAAATAAACATGTGCAAATAAAAATATTACGTGAGATGAAAACTGTAGAGCATGAAAGTTTACATTCAATTTAAATTATACAACCAAGAAAATTACTGAAGTTAAAACTGTGAGATATAGAAAGTTGCAAAACCAACAAAATTACATGAGCTTAATATTTGCCATACTTTATCAACGATTCAAACAAAGAATTTATATTATGTTACATTATGCCATAATCCAAGTGATTGGTTCCTTAAAATAATTAACTTTGAGAGTGTGTCGTGAACTGGTTACCCCAACAAAACACATAATAAATAAACACAAAAAGATCCAGTCATCGTTGCGAGGAAAAAGCGTCTCGGTGATGTAAATTTTATCGTTGCGAGGAAATACCTCGATGATGTAATCAATCTTTAACGTTGCGAGGAAATACCTCGATGATGTAATGATGACAACGACGTTAATAACGATGATAACTGCCTAAGGGAAGAAATTATTTTAACCCCCCGCCAGTTCGCGATATAATGAATTTTGTTAATTTAACTGCCGTAAATGAAGTATTATTAGTAGAGAGCGGAAAATATGCAGCAAAATTTTGTGAAATATGATCATATGATATGCATCAAATTTATGCAAATATGCAATAACTTTCTTAATATATGCAGAAATATGCAATTGCATATGCTCCAAAAATTAAAAGAAGCGTAATAACCGAACTAAATTTATTTACAAATTGCAAAAACACCTTACCTTTTATTACAAAAAATACATAAATCATATTGCAAAGTGTTTAATTAGATCTCACTGACAAATAAATGCCATTTTTTAAGATAATATTCTTATACTAAAAAATAAATATAGGTAAACAGAACGAATTAAAAAATAGTAGTAATCGACTATTTAATTACTATTTTGGTAACAATTTATTTTTAAATATTTTTCGAAATATTCTAACAAAAATTTTTCCGGTGATTCTAAAGTATGTATGTATTTGTAAATAGAAAAACTGCGTACTGCGTCCACAGATGTAAAAATACTTATCGGATTAGAGCAGGCACAACAAAACACAGTTCCTTCTTGAAGAATAAGTTCAGGAAAAGGTTCAATTCGTAAATTAATTTGAGTTATCTACATATTGACACACATCTCTATGGCTTTAAATACTTAAATGCAAACTCACGATGAAAAATAATAGGATAACGTCCCTTCGACTACCATAAAACATACCATTAATACATTTAAGTAACGAACAAAAATATTGAAATGAACGGTATTTCCAAAATTAATTAGGACCCGAATTTACCTGGAAGGATGGCTTAACACCTAGTGGTTCCTCCAAACTACCATAAAACCCAAACCTTTCCCAGCTATTTGAAGCTCAGGACAATATTTGCAATATGATTCATGAAATTTCGTCTTTCTAGAAAAACGCCGATCGAATGGCAATTTTTTTTTTCAGAGTAGCACAAAAATTGATAAAAATGCAAAATATGCACCCGTTACGTGAAATATGCA